GATAGATAAAAGGGATTATCATCAAATCACTGAGAGAGAGGATCAACAGGTTGGCTAAGAATCGTGCTGATATTTTGTGTTTTCAACACATAATCCGTATACCGAACGACGTCGACTATTTATATGTTTATGGTGAAAAGCGTAAAGGGGACGTAAAGTTAATTTCTATGCTTAAAGCTCGAAGACACCTATCTAAAGGTTGTTTTTCCTATTTAGCCTATATTTTTGATGCGTCGAAAGAGGTAAAGAAAACGGTTAGTGACGTACCGGTTGTGTGTGAATTTCCGGATGTATTTCCCGAGGACTTACCCGGTTTACCTCCTGATAGACAAGTTGAGTTTCGAATTGACTGAATTACTGGTGGAACGCCGATTGCTAGGACGCCATATCGTCTGGCTCCGGTTGAAATGAAAGAAATGAAGAATCAACTGCAAGAACCTCTCGATAAAGGTTTTATCCGACCGAGCACTTCACCTTGGGGTGTTCCAGTACTATTTGTCAAGGAGAAAGATGGTTCAATGCGTATGTGCATCGATTACCGTGAGTTAAACAAAGTAACGATCAAGAACAAATATCCACTTCCACGTATCGATGATTTGTTCGACCAATTGCAAGGTGCGAGTTACTTCTCTAAAATTGATTTACGGTCGGTTTATCATCAACTGAGAATGTGTGAAGAAGATGAATCAAAAACGGCTTTCCGTACACGTTATGGCCATTATGAATTTTTAGTTATGCCATTCGGTTTAACTAATGCACCTGTAGCGTTCATGGATATGATGAATCGCATGTGCCGGCCAATGTTGGACAAATCTGTGATCGTGTTTATAAACGATATTCTTGTATAATCCAAATCTGAAGCGGATCACGTGAAGCATTTGTGTGAGATGCTTGAAACACTTCGACAAGAGCGTCTATATGCTAAATTTTCGAAATGTGAATTTTGGCTACGTTAGGTGCAATTCCTAGGTCATACGATTTCTTGTGACGGTGTGTCGGTTGACCCGTCCAAAGTTGAAGCTGTAAAGAATTGGGAGCAACCTAAGAATGCATCTAAGATTCGTAGTTTTCTTGGACTCACGGGTTATTATAGACGATTCATACGAGATTTCTCTAAAATTGTCGTGTCTTTAACTTCGTTGACCCGAAAAGATGTCAAGTTCGAATGGGGTGAAGCTCAAAAGAATGCTTTTTAGGTGTTAAAACTTTGTTTGTCAGATGCTCTTGTTCTAGCTTTACAAGAAGGTAGTGACGACTTGGTAGTTTACAGCGATGCTTCTAAACTGGGTCTCGGTTGTGTTCTTATGCAGCGAGGCAACGTAATTGCATACGCTTCGAGACAGTTGAAAGATTATGAAAAGAACTATCCAACTCATGATCTTGAGTTGGCAGCGGTTGTTTTTGCACTAAAATTATGGCGTCATTATTTATATCGTACCAAATGTCAACTATTCACAGATCATAAGAGTTTAAAGTAAATCTTCACTCAACAAACTTTGAACATGAGGCAACAACGAGCCATGGAACTTATGAAAGACTATGAATGTGAAATTCTTTATCATCCAGGTAAAGCTAATGTTGTTGCAGATGCTTTAAGCCGGAAGACGTATGCAAACTCCATGTGTTATGCTATTACACATACGTCCGTGACATCCACACTAATTGACAACATACGAAAATGGCAAGTAGAGGCTTTAAAGCCTGATTGTGTGAAACCAGAGCGTATAGTTGGTTATGTTTTGTATCTGACAGATGATAGTCGAGGACTTAAAGTCTTCAAGGAACGTGTTTGGATTCGAAAACTCGGTGGTATTCGGGAATTGGTATTATCTGAAGCACATAAGTCACGGATGTCCGTGCATCCGGGCAGTACAAAGATGTATTACGATTTGAGATCTGAATATTGGTGGCCGGGAATGAAGCATGATATCGGCCGATATGTGGAACAATGTGTTATGTGTTCGCAGGTTAAAGCTGAACACCAAAAACGTTATGGTAGCCTTTAACCTCTCGATATACCGGTGTGGAAATGGGAGGAACTTACAATGGATTTCGTTACAAAGCTACCGAAGACGTCTCGTTAGCACGACAACATCTGGGTTGTCGTGGACTGTTTAACCAAAAGTGCTCACTTTCTGTCTGTTCGAGAGTCGTATTCTATGGATAAATAGGCACAAATTTATATCGACGAGATTATTGCACGACATGGTGTTCCTTTGAAGGTAATTTATGATCGAGATTCTCGATTTACTTCGAAATTTTGGGCCAGTTTACAACGAGAACTAGGGACACGCGTGGCATTGAGCACAGCCTATCATCCCCAAACTGATGGCCAGTCCGAACGCACGATACAGACGTTAGAAGATATGTTGCGTGCGTGTATCCTTGAGTTTGGTGGTAGTTGGGATATGTATCTACCATTGGTTGGATTTTCGTACAACAACAGCTATCACTCGACTATCGGTATGGCGCCTTTTGAGGCTTTATATGGTCGTAAATGTCGAACTCACTATGTTGGCGTGAGACGGGTGAGAAAGTGCTTGCTGGACCCGAAATGATTCAAATTACGCATGATAAGATTCAAGTTATTCGGGAAAGGATGAAAGCCGCTCAAGACAGACAGAAGTCGTACGTCGATAATCGTCGACGACCAATTGAATTCACCATGGGCGACATGGTTATGTTGAAAGATTCCCCTTGGAAGGGTATTCTACGATTTGGTAAGCAAGGTAAGCTTAGTCCACGTTTTGTTGGACCATTCAAAATCATTGAACGCATTGGCAAACAAGCATATCGACTTGAACTTCCAGAAGAGCTGTCTGGTATTCACGATGTATTTCATGTTGGATATCTTATGGGTAAGTATGACGAAACAATTCCCTTAGCTGCGGTGAAAATTGACGAACGATTGAGATATATCGAGGAACCAGAAGAAATTCTAAACGAAAGAATGGCAAATCTTCGGAACAAGACAATCGATTTGGTATTGGTGAAATGGAATAATCATCGTGGTCTGAATTTCACATGGGAGAACAAAGAACAGATGCTTGCCAAATATCCTGAGCTATTCGAGAAATGAAGATTCCGAGGACAGAATCCACAAAAGGAGGAGGTAATTGTAACATACATTTTTGCAAATACGTTGCAATTATCCCCTTTATACGTGTTTATGTGATCAAAACATAAAATTTGGAAGCAAACCCGAATGCAATAAACTATATATGAAATAGTCGGAATCATCGTACGAGGCCCGGGGCAAAACAATTGGAAAGAAACGGGTCAAAAGCATCAATATCTACGTTACGGATACATAAAAACTGACTTTTATTGGAAGATTTTTTTTTTAAATATTTCTATTGTAAGTTGTATATTATCTCTTTACGAACGCATGAGCGAAAACCACGTCAAAAACGGAGGTCCGAGCAAAAAATTATGCCATTTTTAGTGATTAGTGGTCAAACCGAGTTTTTAGCCGAGGCAACTCAGCCCCAACTCGTAAAAGTCGGTTATACTTGTTATTTACCTTCTTTTTTACCCAAAACAGACTCTCATCTCCAAAACTTACTACCAGGGGTGATTTTGGCTTCATAGGGGTGAATCAAAGTTGTTTCAAGGGGGTTTTGCTTGATTTTTATGCCAAATTCATCCTCCCATTAAGGTATAACTATTTCATTGGTTAATCTCTTGATTTGAAGCTAGTTAGAGATGA